TTTTTTTTTTTTTTTTCTATTCTTGTTTGTGTTTTTTTCTTTTCTTTTTATGTTCTCATTTTTTGTTTCTTTTGTTTTGATTTTACTTTTTCTATCAGAAGCCATTTTAAAGTTCTTCACCTAAGTAGCTTTCACTTATATAATTATTATATATATGTATTAGGAAAAAGTTTGTTGACTGCTGCTAGATTTGCAGGATTCATCGTTACCATTTGGATTGCTGCCTTTATGTTTAAGTCGAATGATATTGTTCGGAAGCAGACGGCACTCAAAGTACTTTATATCCCTTTTTCGTTGATTGAGATATTTGGATCAAAGATAAAGTTATGGTTGGCACGGAGCTAATTTTTGTTTTCTTTTTAGGGTGAGAGGAGAGTATTTGTTCTCATAGGTGTGGTTGTTGTTTCCACGCTTCATATTGTTGGGATTTACTGGTGGTATCGGAATGATGATGTGCTATACCCTTTGTTGATGCTGCCACCAAGAACCATACCGCTTTTCTGGAATGCAATGTTCATCATTGTCGTCAATGGTGAGTGATATTTATTCAATTGTTGAATTCCTGGCATAGTTATTTGGCAGTGTATTAATATTATTTTTTGAAATATGGTATCTTTTTTCAGATACACTGGCCCGTCAGGCCGCAATGGTTTTCAAGTGTGTCCTATTGATATATTACCGAAACAGCAGAGGGAGAAACTATCGTAGGCAAGGTCAAATGCTAACATTAGTCGAGTACCTATTTTTGCTTTACCGTGCACTGCTACCTGCTCCAGTTTGGTATCGTTTCTTTTTGAACAAAGAATATGGGAGCCTTTTCTCGTCACTGATGACTGGACTTTACCTGACTTTCAAACTTACATCTGTTGTTGAGAAGGTAGCCCTTATGTTTCCTACTAAATTAGGTTCTCTTGATGGTGTCGTATTCTAAGTTTTTAGTGAATTTTTTCAGTGTTTTTGTTTTATTTAATAATTTGAAAGATATTTTTAGTTCCTAATATGTTTGACTTTTAAAGGTCCAATCGTTTATCACTGCTTTGAAAGCACTTTCAAGGAAAGACATCCATTATGGAACCTATGCAACAACTGAACAGGTATCCGTTTTTTTTTTTTNTTTTTTTTTTTTCTGTTCCAATTTTTTTATGGGTCTTCTCCTTGATGTTGAATTGTGCTAGATTTCTTTGAGCTACTGCTGCCTACATTTCATGTGGTGAACATGCTGAAATATTGATATAGTTGTGTTTCAGATCATTATGGTTGACCATTTTACAGTAATACAAGAACACCTATTCTCCATATCTGTTGTCACACATAACATAATGATTGTGCTTGGTGACAAGAAATGTACACTGAACTGAATTGTCTACTATAAACTCTGGTTGTTCAGCATCTTTGATAAGATCTTTGAATTTCTTATAATTTAATATTGAATTTGATGTTAGGTTCATCCATTGGCTAAATAAGAAGTCCAAAAGACAAATATAATAAAGAAGAAAGGAAAAAAGTTCAGAAAATTTTGTTAAGAAGAGTTCATTTTTATTGCAGGTGACTGCGGTAGGAGATTTGTGTGCCATTTGCCAGGAAAAAATGCATGCTCCAGTTCTTCTACGCTGCAAGCACATATTCTGTGAGGACTGTGTGTCTGAATGGTTGGTTTTGTCCTGTTTCTTGTTTTGAAACTACAGCTTTTAAGTTTTAACAACTCATATCAAATAGATGAATGTAATTTTCTGTCCTTCGTTTTTTCTGATATTCCAAGAAACTAGTAAAATATTCATCCCATTCTGAAAATATCTTAAATTAAGGTGGATAGTGATTAGATGTTGATAGGAAAACATGATACAGGAATTTTTAATAATCCTAGCGTCCCATACTTGAAATGAATATGTTATCAAGTCCTGCCACCATGAGTTTTGATGTCATTTTCTCATTCATTCTAGTCCTACGATTAATTTTCTTTGTCTAGATTCATTGAGTTTCAGCTAGTATTGTCTCTTGGAAGCAATAAACTAAGAGAATAGTTAATCATTATATTTAAAAGCTTAAGAGCACCATGGGTAAATATTTGCCTTGCAATCACATGCGTGGAGCTGGCACTTTCATTTCTACCTGTTCTATTTTGAATTTCCTCGGTTGAATTTGTAGGCTACCTTT